GCCACTCCCACGTGAATGGCGATCAGAAAACTTTCCTCACTTGCGTGAACTTCTACACATGACTCCATCCTCCTCTACACATGACTCCATCCTCCCTTCTGAATTGATGCTCATTTAATATAAGTATGATATGCTGACATAAAGACATTGCAATTAAACTCATATAGAGGTTCTTATAGCAACATTGCTTTTGAAACTTTACGATCGTCCCATAAGAGACCGTTTAATATTTGAGTATTAAATGTGTATATCCCGATAAGTCTATTTTTAGAAAATTTAAGCGAAATGTCATTTTGACAGCCATATCTAAATATCTTTTTCTAGCAATTTTTACTATAAAAAGGATCGTTTGCTAGAAGATTGTGTCCTCTATTTCCACGGATTTTAATCTTGGAAAATTGAAGACTTCTGGTATGTTCTTTAGATGTAACAGAGACACTTATAATAAACTATATTTGGTTCTCTATACATTCGAGTTGTAGCCGAAACTTAAATATGATTTCTTTCAAACAAGTTAACTGCAATCATAAAATCTGATAATAATATGGCTTAAAGTTGTATGCTCAAATGTTAAAGAATTCTTTAAGTCAGATTTTACCTGCATAGAATACACATTTCGGTGTGCCAACAATAAAAAAATATATACATTGTGACAAAAAAGCACCTGAAAATTTTAAATAAAACCCAAAACAATTAATTATGTATCAATATTTCTTTTGTCGATTTCAAACTAATCCCCACCAGTTGTATTACACTTAAGCCAACGAGTTTTCAAGTACTCGAAACATTTTCATAAGCGATTTTTTGAATAGCCTTCAGCTTCTTCAGCTAATTTTGTCTCATACATTTCAGAGTAATTAAGCACAGCTCTACCAACTTAGTAAAATGAATTTGTTTGAAATATCATTTACCCGCGGAATTAAAATTACAATTTCCGGGTGCTTTTCTTCACAATGTATAACTAAGTATTTAATAGGCTTATCATATTCGATTCACTCCATATTATTTTTGAGGAATTTTTCCTTCCTTTTGAACGAATTTTCAAGCAAAACTGTTGCACTAAGCCTCAATGCTTGATTTACTTGGTCTTCTTCCAAAGAATCTATAGCATTTTAGTTAGTAAACAACACACTAAATTTGAGGTATTTCCACTGCGTTTCGCTGAAATTGGAAAACGGTGTTGTTGGGCAGTGTAGAGACTTGTGTACTTACTTACACATGCACGAGTGTATAATCATTATGCGAACGCTCGTGTGTGTCTGTGTGTGTGTGTTTAGACAGTCTTTCCGATAACATTTGCAAATTCAAAGTAAATCATCAGACAATCCATGAGCAGATGCAACTGTTGCAACATGCAATCGTGCAACACATATGTTAAAAGACATTTAGACAGACAGAGGCTTATGCAAACAGCTTTGCACAATGCGTACACATGTATATATGTGTGAGTATGCTGCATGTGACAGGCGCAAGCGAGCAAATAGGAACGATGTGTATTCATGGAGACTGCAAATCGGTTGCATGAACACTGCTGGCGCTTATGATGTAAAGCACATACAAGTCTATAGATAGTGCGCTGGTGTGGCATGCATTTGAGAACTGTGAACGCATCTAAACGGCCGAAGGCAACATTTTGTTAACTAAGTAACTCTGCCGCAAGACATACACACTGGTTTCAGATTGTTGTGTGTAGCTGTGTGCTGAAAAAGCCAATTTGTGCTTAAATAAGGAGGTCTGGCAAATAAAAAGCAAAATCGCAAATGCATTCTCGGAAATGTTCCAGGCTGTTGCCGAATAGTGCTGTTGCGTTTGCAGAAAGACTTGTTTGCTTACACGAAGGTTGATATTATCTTTTGAAGCTGGTTTGTAATACGTTCCTTTAGGTCATTAACCTTTGACATGAATTGAAAGAAAAATGCACAAAAATGAGAAAATTTCCACAATTACAGCTCTTGTTTAATGGTTTGGAAGGTTTCTTTTATAAAACACAAATTCACATTCAAGTCCATTCCGGTTATGTAGACCATGTTGTCTGTAACCTATGTTGTTGTAACGGCAGAATTCTGCCGTGTTGACAGTCCTTGGCCGGACAAAAATCCGGGTCCGTTCCAGTTTTCGTAGACCCGACTGTCGTTTTTTTTATGAAATATTTGCGAAAGAAACTATTACTCTTTATTATTTATTATTCTTACAAGCGCTCAACATCTCATACTTCCATTCTATTATAATCAATAATTTTGCGTCCAACTAGTTAACATCCACTTCAACAGCCTGTAAATTATTAAATTATCAGCGTAATGTAATTTCACATTTTACTATTGACATCATGTAAACTCGTACAGACAATAAATCTTTATCTAACTAGACTTGGATTTTTGAAGAACAAAGTATAGCTGCTTCCGCTAGCACAACTGAAGAGGAGATGTCCCATGGACAAATGGAGAAAACAGCCTTATCTTAACTTATCTGGAACGTATAATGAGTTCCCACCCGTCGCGTATGTAGATTTAAATTCAAGCCAGGTAAATACATATTACTCGCGAAAGGAAACATTACTCATACGCCCTGCAAAACAAAAAGCATAATCATAGCGCGTTTAACGTAACTTATACGCCTCAGTGGGCTAGGATAATACAAATGCACACGCATCAATGCCAGGTAACGGTAGTTCGCCGTGTCTTTTATAGAACAATTTAAATGAATTACAACATTATCTTTATTTGAGGAGGACAACAAAGGCAACTTATAGACGAGTGCACACATATTCCACGCCTCCTCCTGCGTGTGAATGTGGCCATGTGTGTGAATGTGGCCAGGCGGGCACATAAGTGCATGTGTATTTAACACATATCTTATACCTAGCAATTACGCAATGTTTTACATTCTGAAGACATGCGTAGGCATGTTTATTGTTGGAAAGCGGTCATGTGCATTAGGGGTGTGACTTTTGCAGCTTTCTCAGGAAAATGTGAACGATGTGTTATAAAAAAATAAATTTCACAGCACATTATAGCGTAGTAGACTTATATAGTATAGTAGGTATAGTACTTGGAGGCAAAATTTAGCCTTCCCTCGGCTGCAGCTTAAACTTGGCTAAGCAGTTCAAAGTTCGAAATTCGAAACTCAAAGACATGCCGATAACTGCATATTCTTATAGCCACATTCATGAGAAGTCATTATAAACTATTTAATCAGCCTTGGAAGTGTTTGAAGCGTATACGCGTCAGACAAAATGTAAATAATTGTTGGAAGTGCAGAACAACGGCATACTTAAAAGTTACGGAATAACTTTTCCAACTCATGACTCACATCATTTACACTTTGTCATTCGCATTAGTAGTTGAAAAGAAAAGAATACATAGAGTGTGAGCGAAAAGCTTACGACAATTTTATACCCAACGCATAATTTACACATATGGAACAATGTACGAGTAAGAGCAACTTCGAATATTGAGGAAAGCATAGCACAAAGAATGATGTCGATATCTCGATATCATATATGTCTTACGAACTCGACCAAAATTAGCCATATTTTTAGATATTACATAATTCTTCTTTAATATACAAGGTGCATTCCAAAGCAGGAATTTTTGAAGCTAGCGCCCCCTGGTGGCGCCATCTATATGTATCTCGATTGGTGCGTTAGAATCTGCTATCTTTATCGATTGCCTTTTACGAAACGAAACGTTTCAGTTGATGAAACAAGTTTATGACGATGATGCCTATCCCGTAGCAGAGTGCACGAGTGGTTCCAAAGTTTTTAAAGTGGTCGTGAGGAGATAAATGACGATCAACATGTGGTTATTTGGCAAAAAATCACATTATTCACCTGATATGGCACTGTGCGACTTCTTTCTTTTTGAAAAAATGCATTTGCTCATGAAAGGAAAGCCTTATGCAGACGTAGAGGTCAACAAGCTAAAACACTCGTTCGACATGTCCTGTCAAAGTCCTATTTACTTTGGAAACCACTTGGTACATAATGAATTTTAGAAGCTTACGTTCCGAAGACGACCCTTTAACAGTTATAAAATATAAATAACATCCCTAAAAAACGTTTCATAACTTTACCTGTTTTAAAGAAATACAGTAGTTTCCGTTTCCGACAGTTGCTCGTCATCTTTCCGCCACTAGCGCCGCCAACACCGTACTCCTGGTACGAATACTGCAGCCCATTGTGCTGATAATAGCATTGCCGCTGGTTGTACGGCTGGCTCTGATGATGGTGGTGGTGATGGTGCCGTCTGTAACGGTGGTGCGGCTGCGACGACGACGGCGACGGCGACTGTGGCTGCGAGCGATGCTGCTGTGAATGGGGCTGTGCACGCGTGGGAGGCTTCGCCGTCAGCCGCTTCGTGGCTGAGGTGCGTTCCAGCTGCTCGCTGTAGTGCTGCACTGCCGCCGCCGCTGACGATGAGGACTTCGATGTTGATGGGCCTTTGCAGTGCGTGCCAGCAGGTAGCTGATCCCAGGCGCAACACATGCTACGCATATTTATAAGTACAAGTACGGCCGCTGAATTATATGCAAACGAAGGCAAACTCACAAACACTCGCGTAGAAGAAGAAAGTAGAATGGATAAAAGTGAATGAATAAACAGCACTAAAGCTCAGCCGTCGCAGCTGCAGCTCCCGGTCTATTTTTGGCTGCTCGCGACGTAGATTCATGCACGTGCGACTCGCATTTCATTATTTGCCAACGCTCATATCTGCGAAAGTGCCAGGTTTTTTCTCCGCTACGCGTATATGCGTGGAGGTGTGTGTGTGCTTCCGTTGATAGCTGAGCGTTTTTATGCGCTACGTGATGTTTACTCTAGTTAAAAAAGTGGCGAGCAGCGTGCGAAACAGTTTAGTAAATGCGCAGTGGAGACGCCGTGTAAAACAACTTACTTTACTCACTTTAGTGAATAACACAAAAATTAGCAAGAACACGCACTCTCGGGGAATTGCTTTCAAGCAGTTATCACAATTTATTTCATTTCATTTTCACATCTCACTTTGTACACCTTTTCACACTTTAGCGCTTGATGGATGGACGTAGGCATGTCATGACCGCGCGCAACAGCAACAACACGAAGGTGGTACAGTAAATTAAAAATCAATCATTGCTGCTGAAGACTAGCGCGCAGCCAAAGCGCTCGGCTGGAAAGCCTTCTTTATGGCTTCTGGCTTCTGGCCGTTGGTCGCTGGCCGTTGCAATGCGCCAATGCCGCGCGAGTACACAATGGAAATGCCGAAGGGAAGAATTACAATGGACACAGTGAGGAAAACCAAAAGCGCGACACAGTTAAACAAGTGCTTGAACAGCAGCGGAAAAGGCGAGGAAATGCAAAAAGTATTTTAGTAAAAACTCAAGTGTTCTCCTATTTGGCACACATTCTTAATCAATATGTAGGTGAGCATACTGCGTCCTTCTAGACAAGCACTTTGCCCCTTCGTCACTTTGCGCTAATTTACATGTTAGTGCTCACTGATTCTAAGAATTTTCTGATTTTCAACTTCGGCATTACATATATAATATATCCACATACATATATATAATTGCGGCACTTGTTCACTTGTTTAGTTGCACTTCAAACTTGTTTTCGACACTTCGATAAGTAACACAAAAAATTTGCATCATCCACCACACACTCCACACCCTGCTGCATACCCAAAATCACAGCTTCTCGCCACTCACAATAGTTTTTTGCGTTTCCAATTACAAATACTTTTCGATCTCCAGCAGCCACTGTCCGTTTTCCCGTTTGCCCAACAACTTAGCGTATTCGTATACCATTCAACGCGTCGCCGTTTGGACTGAAATTGCAGCCGTCAGCTAAGTGAAATGAAATCAGCAAAGCTGTTTAATTAGCGGTGTCCGCGTATATGGTGGTTCTCGCCGGCTAGAGCACAAAAGGTAAATTGCTGTGTCTCAAATTAGTTAACGGCTATTAGTTGTGTCATTTAACGGAGCACATAAACCGAAAGAACACACTCTCACCTCGCCAGCGTATAATTACCGAAGCTTATTCATATGCTTAGTATGCCAAAGCACTTGCAGGTATTTGCTCTACTCAATAAGTGAATTCACGATGCTGATCGATCTCAAATGTAGAATTTTTTGTTATTGCCAACTCAACTCCCCAATGAACGATGTCGGAAATGGCTTTGGGTAACTTCAGTTCTCTTTTGTGTGTAATTTCGGCATGTGGCCTAGAAACCACTTGATTTAGTAAATACTGGCATTATTGTAGATGTTGATGCCGGTTCCAAGATAGACGAAATTAACTACGACATCGAAGTTATGACTGTCAACAGTGATCTGGAGGCCAGATCGTCAGTGCCATGACTGTTTGCTTGATGACAGGAGATATTTCGTCTTGTTCTCACTCACTATCAGACCCATTTGCTTCACTTCCTTATCCAGAATGTAGAAAGCAGAAAAAGGCCAATGATATCATTATCATCGGCGTACATCAGCAGTGGTGCATTCTTATAGAAGAGAGTACCCTCTCTATGCAGGTCTCCACTTCGAATTATTTTCTTCAGGAGTAGATTGAAGAATTCGCGCGATAGAGAGTCGGCTTGTCTGAACCCTTTACACAGTTGTATTAGTTTTGTGTGGATAGAAAATTTAGGCATCGCAGCATAAAGTCAGCTCCTTTTCGTGCTGTCCAAATAACCTTTGGTCTTTTCCAAAATTTGGTGAATGGTGAATATCTGTTCAGTTGTTGATTTTTCAGACCTGAAGCCACACATATAATGTCCAATCGGTTTGTTGCTGATGCGCTTTAATCTTTCAAACAGTACGCTCGATAGAAATTTATACGCGATGTTGAGGATGTTATCCCACGGTGAATTGGCAGAGCACACTTAAATTCCAATCGTCGGGCATAATTTCGTCCGACCGTATTCTACAAAGAAGCTGATACATGTTCCACGCCCACGTATTTGAATATCTCGGCCGGCAATCCATCGGCCCACGCCGCTTTTTTGTTCTTCAGACAGGTAATTGCTATTCGAACTTCTTCTGGATCGGGCAATAGAACGTTTCGCTGCCATTCAGCAGGCTGAAGAAGTATTTCCACCATATTAAAATCACTACTATTAATAATATTCATCATTAAAAAATGCCGTAAGCTATGCCAACAGTAGTGGACAGTCTGTTTCTCGTTCACCATCATTCCCATTCGTTGAATTTTTTATCCAACATATCGATGATATTAAATTTTCGGTGATATATTCGGGATTATTTCTATGTTTTTCCATGTTTACCTACATTGGTTCAAATGTAATATTAAAGTAGCGCCCGTGCCCATGACCGTTCTTTAGAAATTAGTGCTTACTTAGAAGCGCGCAACTAAAAAGCCACACCTACTTTAGTTTGTCATACCGTTATATTGTAAAAGGCACTCATAGCGCGATAGTGCTGCTTGTGACAATGCACCTACCCATGCTGTTGCTTCTGACAAGCACGATAGCACAGCCTTTCATTCCATTGATTACACAGTTCAGTTTACCTTGGCAATTACTCATGGGCTAAGTGAGAATTCAATTGGATTTATTACTCGAAACGAGCTATTTGAATTTATTTGCGGAAAATTATTCATTTCGAACAATGCTCGCACACCTTCACCTGCACTAAAGTATACCAAAACCATAAGTTTAAGGAGACACATTACTATGGATGGTGTGTGTTTGTGTGTGTGTAATGAGAATTTAATATTAATGACCTTGGCTCGGCAACTCCATTAGTTTTGTGACTATAATTATTCGTTACATTTGATTAGTTTGGATTTATTGTGTCTACAGAACTAAATTATCAAATCGAAAGGGTTGGCAACGCTGACACTGCAATTGTCCAAACACCAACAGCACGACAATTAGACACTCTTTCTTAAATACTAACAATATTAACGGCGTTTATGATCTAGCATGGCTTTTGCCGTGTAAATAAGAGTGTGTGTTTATGTTCACTCAAATGCTAGACTTGATATGCAGCGCTTAGTTTGTTGCAAGCGTTATTGATAGCATATACTTTTTTCTACAATAATTCGCTCATTAAAAGCAAAAAGAGAAAAAACACCTCAAAAGCCATTGACCATTGGACTTCATTCCGGGAGTATCCAACATTGTTGAGTTTGCGATTGATTTGTAAAGGGAATTCAATTTTAAGCTTTCAGCGCTCTTGCCTGCCCTTAACCAACGTTTTGTTTATTTGCAGTTACTGCGTACTATCTTTTGCGATTTCTCTTATGGTTGTATATTCCCTTGGCGCACTTCTTTAGCCTTCGCACTTCCGTTTCGTGTTGAGTAAGTGCTGAACTAATTTAACCCGCCACATCATCAGAGTTGTCAAGACGTGCGGCTCGTTTGTTTTCTCCTTGCTTGGCGCTTTATTTCCGCTTGCCGTCGTCGAAATTAATAAAGTTTCCTGTTGCAAGTATGTGGGCGTATGTTTGATCAGAAACGTGTTTTAATGGCCACCATAACCAGAGCGCATAGTCTTCTCTGTCAGCTATGCACTCATACTGCACTTAGGGATTATTTAAGATTTTTCATGGTAAACTTTGAGTCTTCACTTAAAGTAGATATAAGTGACTGGTGCTTGGAGGATGAAGTCATGAGTAGTAGTTCACGAAAGTGAGGAACGTTTTCTGATCTCCATTCACTTGGGAGTGGTCATAAATGATTCTTTTAAATATGACTAAAGTAGCTCACGACTTCCGGTCTTTGACCAAGTATACTCTGGGTAGCCCAAGGGCACCGTTTGAAAGCGAGCTAAAGTGAGAAGGCGAAACATCAACTTCACACTGTTGTGCGCTGAATTTGGGACCCGCCACGTAAAAAAACACACCCAATGAAAAATAACAACCAACCTCAGATGGGAGACCCCCCTTTTGATGACGACCATGACAAACGAAATAAGGACTACGATTGGAGGGCATGCACCTGGAATATCCGGTTCCTTAATTGGCATAGACACCGCATACGCGGTTATAGCCGAGTTAGCATCAGCGCGACAGTCGGGTTTCTTTTTCCATATGTGGCGGCAATTGGAAGTCTCTCCAACGCAGTAGAGGTCTTCCTCTTCACCTGCTTCCTCCGGCGGGTACTGCGTGAATACTTTCAGAACTGGAGTATTTCGTCCATTCCAATTCGCTGAATATGTCGTCGTTTACCTCATACAGCGCAAAGGACCATAAATCTGCCGCAGAATCTTTCTCCCGAAAACTCGTAACGTCAACTCATCAGATATTGTCCGATATCTTACTAAGTCCGCAGTAGCACCTTTTGGCAAGAGTTGTTCTGCGGAAGATTTCGAAGCTGTCAATACTGGTGCCAAGATTTTCCTTACTGGTTTTTATGAAAATAGCGGCCTAAAACATATCTTATTTAGATTCGGGTAAAAACTAAGTTCAGTTACTCTCTACACCTCTGCTAAAGTTTGAACAAGCTTCTCCCTCATTAAAGATAAAGGTTATAACATATAGTGCTTAGCAATAACTAAGACTATATATTGTGGAGTAATAT